TTGTATGGATCTAGAGTGTTTAATACTAATGTCAATGATTCTGATTTTGATTTATTATTTATTGCTGATGATCTCTGTTCCTCAAACTCATCAGACGGAGGTTATTCAAGAAATACTCAATATAATTTACATAGTGAAATAACAGTTTCTGATTCAAATGGTCAATTAGTCAGTTATGAGCTTGAGGTTATGATGATGAACACTTCTGTTTTACTGGGCTATGCTCATATTCATTTACCTGTCATTTTACTTTCAGTACAACAACCAAATGATGCATTTGTAGTATTCGAGGATGAAAAGATGAAAAGATGGAGAGAAAATTGGAATAGCTGGTTTTTGAGATTGCCAAGATCAAGAAATGCAATATTACATGAATTGAATTTTAGTTTCAATAAGGCACACCGTTTTTGGGTAGGTCTTCAAAAAGGGCAATACATCACAGAAAAGGAGAAGAAGGATGCATTGAAAAAAGTCAAAAAGAATTTGGCTCATGGAATTAGGTATGTAATTATTTAATTTATTTTTTTTAACTTTAATTGTTAGATTTTGTAAATATGGATATCAAATTGCGTTTGGAGGGTGTATTTATGATTATTTGGAAACAAATGCACTTTATGATGAAGTGGTTTATGGAACAGACAATTATACAACCTGGGAAGAGTATGAATCGTTGGTTAAAACACTTTACGATAAATGGATGGTTGAATATAAAGAGGATATTAAAGCTGTTATGAGAGAATGCAGAAAAGAATGTTTATCCATGGAGAGGGAGTCTAATTTAATAGTTTCTGATATTTTGAATAAGTTTGTCACAACATTTTCCAAGGAATCTACTTTTAAAAGGAGAGATTACGAAAATATCACTTTAAGCTTTGGACCTTTTTCACTAAATAGAGTATTTGGTATTAGTGTAACACCTATATTTATTGAGGGAGATAACGTTTCAAATCCAAATGATTGCAATCTTTTCAAATTGGATATTGACTTTGTATTCCAAGAAGCAGAAAACTCATTAAGTTTTAGAGAAATGGACTTGTATTTGGAATGTAATGGTTCTATAATAGAAGCCATTTCTAACGAGAATGAGACTCATTACTCTCCTTTATGTGTGCCAAGGTTCTTGTCTGAAGAATATCACAACTTGGATAAAAGACATGGCAATGGATTCACTACTAAGCTAAAACTATCAGACTATGCAATATTAGAGAACCCTTCTGGCACCAGAGTTAATTTGTACTATTATAGAAATGAATGGAGATTTAGCTTTGGTAACGAAAGTCAGAAATGGCAAAATGAATGGATTTTGGATAGAGATTTTGTAAATGAAATATCTGAGCCGTTCTTAAAATTATGGGAAAAATTAGATATGAAGAAACCAACAGAACAAAATAGTAATTTTACTTTCTTTTTCACATACCAACCTCAATCAGGAAGAATTATTTATTGTGGATGTAGAAACCTCAGTACAATGAAAGAGGAAATTGTTTGGAGAGACTTGGGAGAGCAATACAATTGGAAAGATCAAGTCAAGCAACTCTTCTTCGATTCAATTGAAGATATCAAGGAGGCAGTGAATGATTTTAATCAATTCCCTCCAATGTTTTTCGAAGGATTCGAATGTATCAACTTTACGAACAATTATAGGAGTTTTCAAATCAAATCCGATTTAAGGTCTTCCATTCCACATTTAAGAATTACTAATACCAATTATGTTGATTCTTTACTGGATGAGGAGGTAATTTCGAATCCACCACCCGATCTAATAGAATCAAAACATAATTATGACACTCTAATTTGTTTAATTGTGAGATCCAAATTTTCTGAGACTGACAAAGGAGATGAAAAGGTTGTTAGTGAACTGAATAGAATATTTTTGAAATCATATGTGAATTTAAAGTATCCTTACATGTCTCTAGTGAGAGAGGTCAATGATTTTTATTCTAATAATTTATTACCATATGAAGATCAAGCCTCTGAGTATCAGGAAAGAACCAAGCTTTTCTTTGGAGGAAGGGTAAAAAAGGCAAGTCAACTTTTCACAAGCTACTTGAGGTTTAGGAAAAAAACTAATCTGAATGATTTTTCTCTTTATTGGAAAGTTTTAAGCGAAAAGCGTGATAATGCTAGTGATTTGAGATTTATCAAACAATTAATTGATTTAATGGAATAAACTACAGATAATCAAATAAGGATACATTAAGAGCTTTTGGTGGATCTTTCTTATCAAGATCAGTCCCAAGATCTTCTTCCTCTTTCAAATGTTGTTCCTTAGTTATTAAACATCTATCACCAGTCGTAGAAAGGAGCTTGTCAAGTTTTTGAAGTTTTTTGTTCATGGTATTATAATTTTCATGTAGTACTGTAGCAAACGCACTTCCTTTAAAGTTAGAAGAAGGAACAGTTTGATATCGTTTCTCTGCTCGTGAGGTTGATTCTTCAATATTCTTCTTAATTATTTGGTTGCAAACATTTGATACAGAGTCCTTATTTTGGAGCACTTCCCTCTTTTCTTGTTCGATCACCCTCAGTTCCTCCCTAGTACTCCCTTTAATCCACCGAATATCTCTATCAGATTCTTGTGTACTTCTTTTCCTCATTTCCTTATTGGTCTTGAGCCTTTGACGAACCTTCTCAACTTCCTCTATACTATCAGGATTCCACACTTTTTGGAATTTTTTCACATTATTGACAAGCTTATTTGGATCGGACAGACTTCCAAAGAAGATTGGTTTTGAGAAACCATCTTTGTGAATTAGTCTTACTTTGTTTTTACCCAGTTCGGGTGATGTGTAATTCAAGGCAAATTCTGCTGGAGGTTTCCTCAGTGCTTTTAACATCAGTGGAGACATTTGGAATGTATACCAATACTTGTCTTGCATTGGAGCTGTCTGACCATTTGAAAAGTATTTAAAGTATTCAGGATTTCTAATTCTTGGACTCAATTCCTTTTGTTTCTTGCCTTGTTCGACATTACTTTTAGATGCTTCCTTATTGGCTAATTTAAGTTTCTTCTTTCTATTCTCGATTGCTTCAATCTCTTGTTCTAAAACTTCTGATGGGAGGGCATGATAATTTTCATCAAGACCAAGTTTTTGAATTTGATCAGAAATGTGATCTTTTGAGGTATTATCTATTTCTTCCATTTCGTCTGGAGTTTCTTCTTCCTCTTCACTAGATGAATAAAATTCCTTCTCTGATGCTGAATCAGGTCTAGGTGCTGTTGTCGATTTAGAAACAGTTGACTGATCAACTTCTTTCTTTTTAGATTTTGAAGTTTCTGTTGACTTTTTAGATTGTTTCCTCAATAGCTTCTCAAAGAAGGTATCTTCGCTCTTCTTTGGAAAATATTTTGTTCGTTGACTGTGCAGGAATTCTCTCTTATATCTAATTCCTAAAAACACTTCACATATAACCTCGTAAACTCTAACCTTGAAATTTGTTGTAAACAACTTTTTACAAGCAGAAAAATGTTTCCTCAAAGCTTTCAAAATACAATATGCAACAGCTAAATGATACACTTCAAAAAAGGCATCTCTGTGATGCCTTCCTAAATTGAGAGCAAATTTTGCACTATCAAGTGATAGTTCAGAGATGAATCTCTCACAAACTTCTGGTTTATCCTGGAAAAACAATGAATAGACAAACCAGAAAGAATTCTGTATGATACTCCTATTTAAATGATTGTATGGACTGAAATTCTTCTCAAACACTGCTTTAATATCCGAATCAGAAATTCTTATATTTTTCATTAAATTATCAATTAAAGGATCAAATTTCAATTCAAAAGGAAGTGGCCCATCAGCAGTTAATTCAACTTCCTTAACATTCCATCCAACAATTTTCTTTTTCCTTAATTTCTTCTTGGCCATCGTCCCAACCTCAGTCAGGTAAAATGTTCCTCCATTTCCATCTTCATCATCACTAGATAGTAATATTGGTTGTACCATTCCACTCCTTGCTCTCGAAAAAGCTCTTTCCCTTATGGAAACACCTGATTTTGCAGTTGGACTTGAATAATTACTTTTAGGTGATTGAAGTTTTGAATTGGCTGATGAAAGTCTTTCCACCCTTTCGGGTGATGAAATTGGACAATCCTCCTCCTCAATAACTTTTCTACTTCCGAGACGAGGAAGCTTTGTCGAGCTGCTCAAATAAGATGCACTTGAAGCAGCTGATGAAGTTTTGGGCATTTTCAATTTGTGCTGTTTTTTTCTGTAGATTAAGAATTTGAAAAATTGATGAAAAATAACGGAAAAAATTGAGATGGAAGTTGAGGTGGTTAAATCATTGGTGGTAACTGTAGTGATAGAGTTCTTTCGAGTGTGTTTATAGGAGACAAGTTCAGTTCAATAAAATGGTATTTCTTTAAAGATATTGATAAGTTTTATAATGTGGGATGTGGATTTTTCAATTGGAAAGATGGAGAAGATGGGATCATGATGTGTTTATAATGGTTCGATGATTAATCATATAACCAATCAGGTTTGTTGTCAGTCCTAAATGAAACAAGGTCTGTATCAAATAATTCAATAAATTGTTCGTTTTGTAATCTGACTTTAGAGCCAGCATATCTTCTATATTCGTCTAAAATACTAGTTAAATTCCATCGTTGTATTTTTCTAAGACATCCAACTACAGTTCCAGTTCTATGTCTACCTAAATTACACATAATAGCAAGAGGTAAATTTTCTCTATTTAAAATTATTTCAAGAGCTTCAACAACAATTTCCTCCGAAATTAATCCCAATTGTGCCATTCCTGTATGTGATGAAGAAGTTCCACTCTTTTTCATTTTCGTAGATTGATTAGTCAAGTGTATTAAATTAATATTTTGATCCTTTGCAAAATTTACAAATTCTTGTGTAGGTTGATCCGGTGCTAAATAAATAATTGTTTTTAAATTGAGTGTTGCTAGATGAGGGAAATTGACAGAGGTAGGTTGTCCCGATCGAAAGACATTCTCCTGCACATAACCAAAGTTAATTGGAGGCACAAGAATGGTCATTTTTTTTAAGTTTAAAAATAGAATTGGCTTATTTTCAAAAAAATGTCTTTATACCTTCGATCATCGGGAATTGTTCTCTCGCAGCTTAGACAATTTATTATTCCTCCTCTGACTCATCATTTTCATAAAGGAGAGGCTGGTAGAGTTGTTGTTATTGGTGGATGTGAGGAGTATACAGGTGCTCCATATTATGCAGCAATTAGTGCTTTGAAAACTGGTGCGGATTTGTCTTTTGTAATTTGTTCAAAATCTGCACTAATGATCAAAAATTATTCACCTGAATTGGTTGTCTATCCATATTTATTTGAAAAATCTGCTATTTCTTATGGTCAATCAGAGGCTAGTATACCATCAATGTTTAATAGTAAGGTGGAATTGAGTGAATTTATGAGGAAAACTTATGAAACAATGTTTAAGAGATTTAATAGTGTGGTGTTGGGACCTGGTCTTGGAAGATCTAAAGAAATGTTACAACAAGCAGAATGGTTTATTGAATATTGTAAGGAATTGAATATGCCATTGGTGTTGGATGGAGATGGCCTATTCTTAATTGGAGAAAATCCTGCCTTGATTGTTGGACACTCAAATGTTGTCTTGACTCCTAATCCTGCAGAATTTTCTCGTTTATTGAAATCAGTTGTGGAGTATCACAATTCAAACAATGAAAATAAGGTCTCAATTTCTCAATTTAAAAACGAAACTGAGGAAATAATTTTCGTTTCAAAAACTCTTGGAGATGTTTGTATTGTAAGAAAGGGAATGACTGATATTATTGCTAAAGGAGATAAGGTTTTGGAATGTGATATATTTAACGCCTCCCCAAGAAGATGTGGTGGTCAAGGTGATGTTTTGAGTGGTGTCATTGCAACATTCTGCTTTTGGGCTAATAGAAAAGCTGGAGGTGAGATAGGTCATGATGATAGAATGTTAGCAGCATGCTATGGTGGTTGTTTAGTTACTAAGAAAGCTGCTGAATTGGCTTTCCATGACCATCACCGAGCAACTACTACTCCAAATATTATTGAAAAAATTGGTCAAGCATTCTGTTTAGCATTTAAGGAAGATGACAATTAGACATTTTTCATTAAATTATTTATTGTAAAAACGAAGTGCTGAACCCATTGTTTTGCATCAAAACGAGAATGGCTTGAGCAGATTCAGGATTAGAAACAATTAAAGATTTAACAAACTGAACTTGTTGTGGGTCTAATGGTGAAATGAAATTGGTGAGAGATTGACAGAAATGAAGTCTGGTATTTTGAACCTCACGTACAGGATCTTCAATACCCATAGCAGCAAAACTGAGCTTGGTGAAAGTAACTTTGTAACCTCCAGAAATTCCCTTTTCAGTTTGAAGGACTGTTTCTTCATCGTCATGTTGTTCATCATCTTCATCAAATTCATTCTTTGAATCTGTTGTTGGGTTGAGGAAGAGAGCAAGCTCTGAAATAAGCATCTTCCATGTGTCAGCAGATGATTGAATAAGATCTGTATTGAATAAAATCTTGATCAAAGCAACAGCACAGACCTTCTTTTCAATTTTACCTGTAACCTTTCTTAATGAGGATTGCCACACAGCCTTTGCAAGTTGAGAGAAAATGTTTGCTTGGATTTGATTAATGGCTTGGATAAGCTTATCAGCTCCATATCTAACAGCAAAGTTAGAGAAGAAAAGGATCAAACATCTCAAGAATTGACCAGTCTTCTTAGATTGAAGTCTTCCAAACAAGACGAAGAAAATTCCTTGGAGGAAATTAGCAACAGTTTCGTATGGGAGAGCATGGATGATACTGTCCAAAATACGGAAACCATGGTAGTCTTTGGTGTTAGATTTGACCAATGTTTGGAAAATGCCCAAAACTTGTTCGAGTTGATTATTCTTTCCAAGTTCTTGAGGAGCCTTGGTAATCAAAGTGGAGGTAAAGGCAACGAGACCTGGAATGTTTCCTTCACTTTCCCACAAATGGGCTTGTAAGAAATTAGGGAACAAACTAATATAAATAGCAGGTAATGGAGCTTGTCTTACAGTCAAAAGTTGAGAAATAAGTTGGAAAACATAAGGTGTGAATTCTTCAATGCCTTGGTTCAGGATGGTTTGGAATGGTGGGAAAAGAGATGCTTCAAACTCTGAAATGTAATCACTGTTGAATTTGATTACAGTAGCATATGACTCGAATAAATAGTGGTTAAACATTGGATTGTTTGGATTTTTACAGACTTCAGAAAGCACGCTAGTAATCTTGGAAATGTATGCAGGCATAATTGGCTTCATTTGTTCCTTCAATACAGCTGTAGCTCTCATAATGGCTTTCATAATATATTCATTTTCTTCAGTGTTATCCAAAGCAGAGAATAATCCTTGCAATAATGTTTGGGCATATGGCAAAATTTCAACTTGGGAATATCTTGGCTTTCCATTATCTTCCTTGACTGTAAGAAGTCTTTCAATACACCAAGCTGCATAAGAAAGAACAACAGGTTCTGGGGAGTTCAACAAGTTAAGAATCAATGGGAAGATGGTGGTGAATGATTCAATTGGTAAGTGTTGTCTGAATGTACAAAT